TAAAAAAAGTTCCTTGTCTGTCCAACAAAATTTGCTGCTAATAGAAACCTCTTTTAATGCAAGCGGCCTGTCCCATATAATAGAAAATATTAATTAGCAGTAGAACTCTGTAACATAGTAACTGGCGAAAGAGAAATTGTACGAACTCCCAAGAAGTGTTGGGATTTGTTTAACAGAAAGAAGATTTTGCGGATTAAAGTAAGCCTTTCAGCAGTTCAAAATTAAAATTACATAACTTTCTAAAGTTACTTCAAACTTGAACCATTAAAATTAATGCAACAGCGATTTCCTTGGATCACCTTAATTGGAAAATTTCCGCTGTTATACGGTATAAGTCGCATTCGACTAGATGTCTCCAAGAGTTGGGAAGTCGGAGAGGTATCATGAGATTTATCAGAAAAGTTTTGATTTAAACGACGACTAACGACATTGACTTCGTCCGTTATGGGTTTAAAATATTCGAATTCGTAGTTCGACTTTACTTTGAACGAGCATTCTTTATAGCTTTTCTACTCAGAACTTAATACATCAAAGGATCTAACTTTTTTATTCGAGAAACAAAAGTACGCGTTTCTTCTGACCTAAATATTAAACTATGTTTACGTATGTAGTGATTTTCTTAAGAAAAAAAATTAATGGAACAAGTGTAGATTTATAATAATATCAAAGATCCAAAAATTCGAAATTCTGAAGTTGCCATTAGTTTTGGGTAGATTTGACAACGCTGCATTTGCTGGAATATTTTGAGAATATAAATTATCACCTACTAAGGGATGTACAGCCAATTTGAAATAATTCTCTTTGTTAGTTCTCCAGAAGTTGTGGGTAGATTTTCTATTATAAGTTTACTTACTTAACCATAGTAAAATACAATGTGGAATATTTACACCCAAAACATCTAAAATGTTAAATAATTGACACGAAATATCTTAAGTTTTCGCACATATTCCCCATTATCTATGACAAAACTTGTTGAATACTACTATCTAAACTTTGTTTGCTTTTATCCTATTTTAGCTATTCCATGTAGACCAAAAACTATAATAGTGAATGTCAAACACCAGTACATAAACTGTAATTTGAATAAGATGGTAATTTCAAACCTTAGTATTTTCGCAACAAAAAAATATCCATTACACTCATACAAATTAAGCTTTTCGGTGGAAACCGTTTGCATTGTTTTTCTTCTCGGTAACAATTATTTCCAGTCATATATAGAGAGGAGAGTTAAAGAAAATTGGCTTACACATTACCTATCCATTTATCTGAAATGTTCGATATATACCTATACTGGTAGCGTTGTAATATGTTAAAGAAAGAGTAAAAAACTCTAAAATTATAAACAGTGGAATTTTCACGCGTATTTGTTATTGCGCCAGTGCTTACTTTGAAATAACAAAAACAATAAAACCAACATTGATAATTTTAAAATTAACTAAACGCGGCTTAAAGCCAAAACCAAATATTTTAAAAAACTTATTAAGATTGCGGCGAAAATCTAATTAAAGGTACTGAAAAAAGACAAACAAGCATGGAGCAAAGAGGCTGTAGTTTATTAGGCCATAAATTCAGTTTCCAGAAAACGTAGATAGAGGCCGAGTCTCCCTTTGTTTTACAAAATATAATATTCCTGATTTATGAACCTTTATTTTATGGTGACGGAAGTTTCTGAGTAAAGAATAAGAAAAGTTGGTTTTTCTCGGGATAACTATGTGTCGCTCGAAACGAAATGAATTTTTAATGCCGACTGGAACTCCATTAAATAAACAATGAGATAATAAACACCAGTCAAGCAGATATTATGTGGTTTAGTCGAATAGGAGAATGATACAGAGCATTCAGTATTCAGGCAAATCAAATTTTACCACTGAGACTGATAATATCTTTTTACCAATTTTTAAAATTTGTCGAAAAGTGCAAAATCTTTTCAAAAATTCTAAACATTACATTTTATTCTTTATCGCTATGTCTTTCCAGAGATTGAATATCATATACACGTTTTTACGACCCTTTTTTTGACATTCTAAACAATATTTTTGCGACGAGGGCGATTTCCGTCATGGTTCACCAAAGAAATGATCGCAATTTGAAATTTTCGCAATTTCAAGCAATACAAATCTTCTTATTATTTGGGCAGATATATTGCAGATATACGCAGATACTGCGCAAATCAATTAAAAATTGTTCGTCGTGTTGAGTCAAGTATACATAATAATCCTACTAATTTATGGTCATTTATGCCACGGGCCTAGTATGGTTGTCGCAGCTTTTGCAAAGTACTTTGGTAGCGTTTATACGATATCTTAGCCAGATCCATGTTCATCTTCAACCGTGTCCTTTAATTCCGGTCTAATCAGCAAGCGAAGCACTCAAAAACAAAATGGCTGCCGGTCCTGACGGCATACCCAGTTTTATCGTGATAGACAGTTCCCACGTACTGTGTGCTCCTTTATAACACATTTTTAACCTGGTACTGGAAACGGATGTTTGTCCACAACCTTGGAGAATTGCCAAAGTTTATCCTATTCTCAAAAAGATGATCCTTCCGCAATTGAAAATTACCCACCTATTGCGATGCAATTTTTCGAAAATATTGGAGATTTTATTACATAATTTTATTTTTTCTCAAATTCGAAATAAACTCTCTACGCAACAACATGATTTTTCTTATGTTCAGTGTCTTCTTATGTCTGTAACTCCCTGAACAAGAAGGTCAAGTTGACGTTATATATACTGACTCCCACAAAGCCTTTGACCAGATAGATCATCACATACTGATTGGAAATTTGGTTTCGCCGACTGGCTGATTTCGATGTTAAGATCCTATCAGGTGAACCGTCGACAGTTCGTTGATTGATTTTAAAACTAACGAAAACTAACCTTGAACCACATTTGTTCAAGATAGATCGACGATCTCATATCTTTGATCATCTGAGACAAGCTTGCCTATGCGGATGACTTAAAACACGGACTGCAAGACTCTCCCAGCCAACATCAATATTGTCAGTCAGTGGTGAACTCAAAAAAAATTGCATCTTAAAATCAGCAAATGTAATGTTGTTTCTTATCACCACACAAAAACTCCGATAGTCTTTAATTACAGTATGGATAGTACTATTCTGACGAGACATGCCACTGTAGGGGATTAGGGAATTTTATTTGACCAGCAAATTTTAGGATTCGTAACAAGAAATTGCAGCTATTATTAACTTGTTATTTAGTTTTAACGTTAGGTCCAAACTTGACTATGACTCGGCGGTATGGTCACTGTCAGGTTCAGTTCATTGAGACTGTACAGATGAAGTATCTAATATCCTGAGAGGGGAGTTGATCATGATCTACTACTATCATTTCTGTAAAATTATATTTTCATGTGCCGCGGTTGGAAGGGAGATCTAAATCAACTTTCTTACCGCAGTTACCCAGATCTAATATCCATTTTTAAAACACTAATTGCAATATGTGTGTTACCTTCATCGCACTGTGATTTATATTATAATGGTCTCCAGGCAATATTTAGGCAACTTCGATTGGCATCGAGTTATCCGTACTGACAAGTTTTATTCTTTTCTTCTTCTTCTTTCTTTTGTTTATAAGATTAGTAGATATATGATTTATATTCAATTTTCTGTAATTGGGTCAAGTTAGTTGTCGGAAATAAACTGCTGTTATTATATACACAACTATTATTTTGGTAAATCTTCTAAACACTTTAAGTAGTAATTCTTCTTTCGACTCGAGAAAGACCTAGTTGCCACCAACTCAAATTTGCAGCTTTTCAGCAAGTTTCCTTCCTAACCAAAGATTGAGTTTATAATAAAATGAATCCGCAGAAAACTGTAGTCATATTATAACGTCTACTGGGTAAACCTAATGAAAAAATTGACTTTGATAGAGAAATTCCTGTCTGCCGTTTCTTGTGTGTGAAAGTAGTGAATCTATCAGCACATGTGTACATCGAAAAGCAACCCGTGCGAAACAATATCTAAATTATCAGTCTAACAATTCTGGAGCCACGGAACTTAGGATAGTTAAAATATTATGTAAACTATCAATGTCCAATATACAGTGACTAAGGGTCTCTGGATGCTGAATTATATACTATTAAAACAGAATTGCTCCAGAATGCTGAGAAATCTTTCAATAGATGGAACGATTTCCATGGCATAAATACCGCGGCCGTCAAACCCAAAATCTTTCAATAATCGCTTACAAAAATACACTCATTTAGTGACAAAAGTACACTCACACTCTTATTTCGATGTAAAATCGAGAGCGAAGGATACATCAAAAACAGTTTTAAAGAAGATATTAAGACAAAAACGAACTAGACCCGAAACATGGAATATAGAGAAAAATGCATCTTTCAAGTACTTTATGAATGCGGTGAATCGTGATATCGGAGAGACAAATCGTCCTCTAAATGACTCGCACAAAATAGGACAAGTGTTGTCTACCGGAAGTCTAACGCAATCTAAAGTAAAAGCGCAATAGCAAATAGTAATACAAATTTTTGCAATCCAAAACGAACCGGTGCTGGCGTCCGTGAAGAACTTCATGGTTCACTACATGCAACTTGGTCACGGATGAACAGCTTAAATTAGTATATACTTAATAATAAATTTTATTTACCCTTGATGAACGACAGTGATAAATCTGAAGATAAAATCTGTCTGAAAGATTTAAAAAATGGTAATCAAAACTGTCGATTAATATTCGTTTTAGAGAAAATATGGCATATTTAAGTTATGGGACGAACGATATATGAAATAGTAAGCATACTGTGATTGAATATTTTGTATTACTTTTTTTAATATTTTTGTAACTTTAGCCGTAGTTATCCTCAAATAAAGATTAAGTTTAAAATTCTAAACAAACGACATTTACTATCATTTGCTCGTTTTAATACAGGTGACTACGACTTTGGATTCCTCCTACTAATACATCTGTGAAGTAAAACAAATAACAAGCAATTTATTGGTTCATAGTGTTAAACTTACCTGTGGCCGCTACAATACCCCAGCACCTTGTAAACAACAGCAGACTGCGATATATCATGTCCGGTTTGTAGGGCACATTCCTTGAAGGTTTCGCACGGTTAGGTGCTAGGCCGTTAACGCCATGCGTTTGGAGGTTCTCGTCGATTGTGTGAATTGAAAACATGGGAGATTCTCAGACCTCTATCGATGACGTCTCACAATTATTCGATTTAACGTTTGTAAGTCATATTTAATCGCATTATCGAGCGAAACGTATTTGAACACTATATATATAAATTGTTCCCAACTTTTCGCCCTTTTGTTAGCTTTAATGTGACGTGGCTTTCAGTCGCTAAGAAAGACGGATAATTTACAAAAATTATCTAACGCGGAATTTTATTGTCAACCCTCATCACGCGCCTAACGGCGATGATTATACTTGGGGGAGGGGGCTAAGAGAGTTCATCTAAATTTTGTAATGTTTAAAATTTTTATAATATTTAGGCAATTGCGTCATCTCAAATTTAGACCAAAGAGTAAGCAAAAGTGTGCTTTATACAAGTTGACGTTTGACATGCCGGAATATCAAAAATGTGATAGTTAAATTTGTTTTACATATTTAATCAAAATTATCTTGATTGATTGAAATTTTTGCTTGTTTTATTACAGTTTATTTGCTTTATGTAGCAGGCATTTCATTAGTGAAAAAGTATGTATTTAACATTTTAAATTTCAACTTGGAAATTTTGTTAAACTGTTTAGTACACTCCCCATATTTGTACTTAAGTTAATCACAATTTTTCCTTTCGCTGCAATGTCTAGAACAAAGTAAATATACTTCAAAAAATGTAAGAAAGACAACAAAGGACAACGAAATGCATTTGAATCAAAAAACAGAAGCAGACGATAAGTAAAAGACCGAAATAATAATGAAGTATTTCTTCCAGCTGATGGAAGAAATTAATGATATTTCATTTGAAATATCATCAATTTCTTATATATGATTATATATAATTTCTTTATATATAGTCACTTCAGGGATGATACAAAGGAGGAATTATGGGTTCAATGTCTAATACGGAACATGAGCAATGTGCTGGAGCAGAAAAGGATATTTGCGATTTTTGCAAAAAAAATTATTTTGCTGTTTCACTCTGCTTGTGTTTTGTTTAGAAATATAATTTTTAATTTGGATTTTTCAAATTCAAAATACTCTAACAGGCGTCGATAATGAACCTTTGAGGTACATGCATGCAAATTTTGATATTAATAAAGATACATTTTTTCAAGTTATTAAAAAATATAAAAAAGCGGTCCATATTAGGACCTCTACTAAATTGTGTTTCTTTAATCTTCTTATGCACGTTAAAACAAACGCGGTTCTGGCAAATTACAAAGATTCAAATGCAATTTCAAATTTGGAATAAATAGACCTTAATAATAGTTATGTGTAAATGTTTCACAAATCGGCTAAAGCTTTTGCGCCCAGATGATGAACTGTTGTCCTGATTGGGATCTCAAGGCCTCTGTCAGTAGGAGTTGCTAGCACGAATGGCAGATGTTTTTTACAGATCCTTCCATCTTCCAATCTACGTCCAACGTCTGATCTCTGAAAAAGCTTGCCAGTCCAACTAACAAATCGTTAGGAAGAGTCCAAAATCAGAGGTGGAAGGAACTCTGAAGAAGCTTACCTCTTATGCTGGCGAAACGTCAGGAAGCAATTCTAACCTACCAATCAGGCCAACAGGAAAGGTTTTAACTTTTTTTTTAGTTGTTTTATTGTTTGTTTTTAAGAAAATTAATCTTGGATGTTGGATCACTCCCAGAGCAAAGGCATTATATAAAAATTTAAAAAGTGAATGTAACAATTAGGCCCCAGATTGAAATTTCGAAAATAATTCCCAACTTTTCTCTTGGTCGATTTACTTTTTTCACATTTTTATGCTAGCCATTTGACTAATTCCGTCCATCGTTACCCTTACTAGGACAGCCGGCATTAATATATACTAGAGGCAAGTAGATCTCTTAAAATTTGTTTAAAAAGCACCAAATAGCACGAAACTAACCAAAACTTAAATCTTTCGATAGATCATTTAAAAGTACAATTCGTGTCACTCGAAAATTATAGCAATGCATTTGCATTAATTGAGCTTTTTATGTCACTTATTTTATTGGATTTAATGTTGGGGTTAGCTGTATAAGGTGAAAATGAAAGAATTACATTATTTTACATTCTTATAAATTTGACTTTCTTTAGTAGTTCTTGAGTATTTATAATATCAAAATTAGGTTAGTGCGATGAGCAACTGCAACATATTACGCCAATTATAACATTTCTTCTCTTTAAAACTATACTTTTGCGAATCGTCAACAACTGCGGACCAAATGTTTCATAATACATTCTCTCCAGAAGCGAATCCTTTATAAGACACGAGAGGCTACCATCAGTCATCTCAACTGGAAAAAATTGCTCTACTTCGTGCACTTTTCCGAGGCCGGCTGACCCTTCTCCGACAAACGAACAAAAAAGCTCCATGAAAGATGGGAACCGTTGGCATCTAAGGTTTTTTATCGCGATTTTAAATAATCGGTCCAAAGAAAACGCGAAAAAATTCAATAATGAACCCCCACAGACTTATCGGTTAAAAGAGACAAAGGGATGCAACGTTGCTATAATCATCGATGATTTTACATAAATTTCGTGCACCTAAAAAGCGGTTAGCTTAAAAATGAAGAGCTGGTGAAAATATCCTGAGAATGGGAAAGAAATTCCTGCGTTGCAAATTTCTAGCAAAACACCAACTCGTTTGAAATTATTGCGCTGCAGTCTATAAAATTTAACATATTGCGGACATTTTAAATAATTAAGTAAAAGTTTATTTCAATTTATAAAAAATACAAATATTAAAAACTAGCTCCTGTTTAAAAAATATGGCTTGTATAAAAAAGTTGACTATCAAAGATCTATCTCATAAAATGTCTAAATTTGTTTAGTGTTTCAAATTATCAACAAAATATGGAAGACCAGATCATTAAAGAAAGATGGGAATGAAGAAGATGGATTCAATTTTAGGATCATATAGCAATCTAGATTATTTTCGCCTTCAACACATATTCAAAATAAATAAGAACTAAAAGTTCAGATTTTCACGAAATTATATATTTTCACACTACAATTGTTTCAACACCGTGTCTTTATCAAATGTAATATTTACAAACTACCTGCTACTATATATACCGAAAAATGCCATTAAAACCTTAATTAATGTTGTGAGAATTAAAGTTTAATAATGGAGAGGTATTTAAATCTAATTGATCGTTAAGCAATACATTTGAATGTCTCATTTTGTTAATCTCCATGGCTTCCAATAGATTTAATGTTCTACTTTATGTGGCTGTATGTAAAATATCGAAATTGTCGTCAAAAATGTGTTTTTCTGTGTTTAAGTGTGTAGCATATTGGAATCTAGACTATTGTTTTTAAACGCTATTTTATGTTCGTTAATGCGTTTTTTGAAGGATCTATTAGGAAAAGATACGCATTTCAACCTGTAGACACCCAATTTTTTGGATTTTGGACATTTCTTTTTATAATTTTTTAAAAATTTTCCTATAGTGTTGATAGTTCTGAAAGCTATTTTTATACCACATTTTGACAAATGTTTTGAAACTTTTTCTATTCTAAATTTTTCGTTCTGTATTGGGTTTCGGACAAATAGAGTTTACTGTTGTTGATATTAAATTCTTTGTTGTAATTTTCTGTTGATAGTGGCGTATTAAGAAGTCTGTGTATAAAAAATTGAAGTGCAGCCATTTTGTGTGTATAAGGGTAATTTAAGCTATTATGTATCACATGTATGAAATCTAATTTGTTTTGCGTTTTCGTAATAGTTAAGTCTAAAAAATTAATAGAGTTATTCTGTTCAATCTCGATAGTGAATTTTATACGATTATGTAATGAGTTAATGTAATTTAAAAAAGAATTCAATTGTCTGTCCGTTCCAACAAAGCAAGCAAAGGCATCATCCACGTATCTATACCACCATAGAAAACTTTTACTTAAAAAACCTCGGGTAACAAAGGACTAAGTGGCTTTCCCATAATCTAATAAATTTTGTTTCACCAATGGGTTAACCTGTTTCCGAGTGAGGGTGAAATCTACTAAATCTATCACATCTATAGATGGAATACTGAAAAATAAGTTTTGAACATCAAAAGACAATAGTGTTGCGTTAGAAGGGATTTTGATATCTTTAATTTTGTTGATTAATTCAAAATAATTTTTATTACAAATTTTGGTTTAAAATCTGTGTGGAACTTTAAAATATTTACTATTTTTGTTGAGAGTTTAACTGCTGGAGCAGTTACATAAGAAACGACTGGTTAATGAGCATATCTTGTTTATGTGATTTAACTAAAGAATATAATTTCGGCGGTTGTGGATTCATAATTGTTAAAAAATATTTGTCTTTGTCACTAAATAGTGTGGAATAAGTAATTACTTCTGTGACTTGTCTTTGATATAACTCTGTAGGATCGTGTTTGATACTGGTTTAAGAAAATTGTTGGTTTTTGAAATATATTCGGGGAGATCGATAGCTATGATTGTCTTCCTTATATCTGTAAATATTGTGTTATTTTCAGAAGCTTTCTTTTTGATAGTTTTTACTAGTGACATTTGAGAAATTTTTTGATATTTGTTGTTTGTCTATTAATTGAGAGTTTATTAAATTCGCTAATACATGTTTGTTTAAATTAGAATCGTTAATGTCCTTAATTGTTAATTCACAGTCGATCCCTAAACAGTATAATTCTCTATTAACGTTTGAGTGAGGTAAGTTAAAGTTGAAACCTTTTTCCAGAAATTCAACTTCATTTTTAGAAAAGGTTGTCTGCTAAGTTTATGAACCTGTTGTAAAATTGGTGGTCGGTATACTTTGTAATAACTGGCTTGCTGTTAGATAATTTTTGTATTAGAAATTAATTTGCCTAACTTTATTTTTTGTCTAAGAAACTTTTTCTGAATGTTGGTGAATGATATGCTACACACTTAAACATAGAAAAACACGACAATTTTGATATTTCACATACAGCCACAAAAAGTAGAAAATTAAATTTATTGGAATCCATGAAGATTAACAAAATGAGACATTCAAATTTATTAAATTTAAAATTTTTAAAAAGCTATAAAACGAAATGCCCAAAATCCCAAAAATCAGGTGCCTACAGGTTGAAATGCGGATCTTGTCCTAAACTTTATATTGGACAAACATGTAGATCCTTCAAGAAACGCAATTAACGAACATAAAATAGCGTTTAAAAACAATAGTCTAGATTCCAATATGCTACACA